CACTGGCGGGGCTAGAGCGGTCCATAACGCGTATTCAGTGAAACGGGTGGCTTATCAGCACTTTAATTTCGTTACATCACATAAATTAGGGCGTTAAGTCTCAGTTGCTTTAAGCGATTTGTATCAGCTGCTTACGCCGTCCAGGCTGGCAGCTGCCACACATTGAATTCCTGCCCCACTGCTCTAGCCTAAATGAGTTGACTCATCTGCTCTCTCGCTCTCTCGTTCTCTCTCACATTGGTGTCATGTCTCCTCTCCGAATTGGATGTGAACTTTTGTGATTGACAGCAGAATTAGATTGGTAAACACCAATAGTTTGGCTCATGAGTTCACTCATGGCTGACGGAGTAGATGTCGGAGGCTGTGGGAGACGAGGCAATGCCGTCTTGCTGCAAAGGCCTTTGTGTATGGGTTGTACATCAGAGTTAAACACCTCTTTGGTGCAGAAACACCCGCTCACCAAACAGGAAGCATAGTTGGTACTAGAATCACTTATCCCACCAGCCAGGCCAAGGCGCTGGAGGTTTAAGAATGTCAACGAGGGGAACTAGTCGGCTAAATCGTCGTCGCACTTTGTATAAAGAATGATCTTAACCTTATGATTTTTGGATTGAGAAAGTAAGGGCACTAATTGTGGGAGGAGGGGACAGAGTTTGAAGAGAACAAGTACTACATCCTTTGGAGGAAGAATGAATTTCCAACCAATGGATGATATAAAGGTGGATGTCAGTAAAGTCGGGCTCACCATGGAAGAGCTAGAGTTGGAGCTGGGTGGGAGAGAGGGGGTTTCAATCGGCGGTCTCGCATTACCAGCATTGTGGATCTCTTCAGATACACCATAGCCTATTCTTTATCGCATTCCAACATCATCCACAGCTGTGCTTAAGACAATTAACGACTTTCCCACAAGAATCACCGAGTTTTTATAGTTTTATGTCCCTACGGAGTGCTTAATCTAATACGTGCCTCCGGAAATTTACTTCTTTTTACTAAGGAATCGAATCCCCTACTTCCTTTCTTCCTATTTCTACTTCCTTGTCCACAGAGTCCGGGCAGACCTATTTCACCTTTCAGCATTCCTCTTTAAGTAATTGCTTTATTAAAGGCTCGTCTCTCTTTTACCTTAGAAATGGAAGATTTTTGCATTCTGCTACGTTTAAACTAACACTCATATCCTCGTCCTCTAATACTTGCATTTTATTGATGATTACACTTCGACGCTGAAATCAAATTAGTAGCACGCCCTACTCACACAGAAGTATGGTTTCCATTCATCATGGAAACAGTTCATGAAAGTCAAATCAACCTACGATACTAAGACAACCTGAATGCAATGTAAAAATTCCGATTCGGAGATTTTAAGTTCATAAAATTAGAAGACTCTTCAAGAATGTCTGCTCCTCGGACAGATACTCGGATTCTCAGATCTCTGTGCCACAAAGATTGAATGCTAACACCTCATGGTTATTTGCTCCCTTTCCTACGCTCAAAATTACCAGAATTCCTTCCATGGTGTTTTGCTTTTTTTACAACACCATAATTGTTCCAAAAAAAGTTGCAAGACCCAAGCGCCCTTGCATAAACGGTGCGGCCACAGTTACCGCACACAACCGGATCTGAGGTGATCGTGACGCAGTAGACTAACTGTTTGCTTAATGCCAACTACACAGAAAACATGCACAAAAACTGAGCTAAAGAGAACATGATACAAATTAGGAGCCTGAGCCAGTAGAGTTGCTTTACATTTAGTCCTACTTTTGAAACAACTGGGAAAGGTATTTCGGGTCGGTGAAGAACTCTCCAAGGACGGATTGGGTGACTATCCGCTTCTTGACTCCTAACTCCTTTCTCTAATTAATCGGCTTAAAATGGAACATACAGCTATGACGACTTTTTTGTAGCTCACCTTCACATTACTTCACTTGATGTGACGTGGGTCTTCATCGGCCCCTGGAGAGGGTTGGTCAAACGCGTCATGCTTACAGTGTAGAAGGTCGATTTTTTCGTCGTCAGCGTGAGTGTGAATCTACTGCAGCCTTTAGTCTCTGCTCCAGTCCCTAGGGCACAAATAACAGCCGGAATGCGTCGAGATGTAAAATAAGAGCAGTTCTTCTTCTTCCTCTTTCGTCTTACCGTAAGAGCAAAGCTACCAATGCATGGCTTGACAACCGTCTTCAATGACGGAAAGCGGTAATGCCAGTATTGACGTTTTCGATAGCATTTAGCTGCCAACTGTTGGCATTTTTCTTTTCATTTTAGCCACAACACTCAAGGCCACTGTAACTCCATAATCCCTGGCCTTAGCAGTCGAGACGTTGGCACCTCAAAGGTGATTGAGGACTTACCGTAGGGGGATATTCACCATAGAGCAACTCAAATGGGGTGTTCCAAAGACCCCTCAACTTGGATACCACTCATAAACAGTGCGATAATAGCTCCGGATAATTAAATTGCACTCCTTTCCATTGGCAGAGGTGAAAGGAATTAATTGGATTATTAATTTTATAAATAAGTTTAAACCTGTGCCAAATGTGGCATCGTGTTACTTTGACACATCTTGCTCTCTTCTGCAGTGGTCCGTTCTTTGGCGAAATCAGCCATTCCTGAAGGCACTCATTTTGGAGATGAAGGCTGCAAGGTGTTGGATGTCATGGAAGTCTGGAAGTAGCTTTATTATAAGCAGACAGGAAGGCTTGAAGGCGAGTAGTGCTGAAAAGGTAGAGGCAGGCCTCCATTTCACTTGCAGCGCTCCTAGTCTTCCAGAAGGGCAGGTCATGCCGCTGAGTGGAAGCACAACTTGCGGAGACTGGAGTGCTCGTACAGTAGCAACATAATCCCTCCCTTCTTTTGAAGATCACTTCCAATCACTGCTGCATTGGCCACCACATCGTAGGCGGTGCTTTAAGAACCATCGCAGGGTCAAGGACGCCTTTTGTTGAGATTTCTTGCGTGTAGGAAGGGGTTTGGGCCCAACTTCATCCCAGCATCTCGGTAATTCCACTTTGTCCAGAATTTTGTCCTTTTTGAGGAAGGAGTAATGCACTGGCTATAACGAACCACGCTTTACAACGAGGGCAAGCCTTCCACCAATTCCTCGTGCTAAGGAAATTTGCCTAAAAGCGGAGTCATTTGGTAAAAGGTGGAATTCAGCAAAATTTCAAGGAAATAATGACTCATATCTATTCCTCTTTGCTACATTGTTCTCACCTCAGTTCTTCTATCCATCCATCGCATACCCACTATCCATTCCGTATCCATCAATTCATTCCATGTCCATACACCCTTTTATCTATCCTGACCCCATTCATCTAGTTGAGCCATGGAGGAAGTGTCTCTTGTTAGATTGATTAACACATTTACAAAGGTACTTTTCAGCTCCATAAGGAACTGTCTGCTGTAGCTTTTCTTTTCCATACCCCTCATGTAGAACGTGGGAGTGGGATGGAAACCGTGTTTCAACCCTTGATTAGTCTTCAAAAATAAACCCATTTACATCAAATGCCTCTCATCTGTCATGTTAAGGTTTGCTATTTTGATTTAGGCATTTAGAAATCTGGACGTGTGTCCCTTTGGATCGGTTTTACTTGCCGCTGTCACCATAGCGTAGCGCAGCGAGTCTTCTAGACGAGTTGAAGGGCTTGCAGCCTGCGGAGGCTAAAGTGCCACTTAGTTAAGCACACAGGGCAACAATGCGCCATTCCACTACACCGCCATCGGGAGAGAGGATTGGAGTTAATGCCACTCTGTCGCATTTGAAGTAGTGACGATGTAGATACTTTGCATGGAATACCATAGACATTGCCTCGTCAAGATGCTCCATTCCAACACTTCAACTAATGGAAGATATCAAAGTAGAACTATCAGTAAGTCAAGCATCCGAAAGGCATAATTATGGGCTCCGTTTCCGGCTTCTTGAATCCTTGTCCCTCACAACAACAGTCTACTTCGAAACTGGTAATCTGAATGAAAGCCGACTATTTACACAAGAAATTGTTGCCACCTTTGATTATCCTCTCGACACGCCATATTGGTTGGTACAAATGGAAAAAGCGAGAGAGAGAGAGAGAGAGGAGGGAGCCACAACCTCCCAGATACTTCTAGAGTCGCTCTTTTTAGTGCCATTAAGAGGAGGAATTTTAAAGTACAAAATGGGTGGTATGGGCTGCGATGTGGCAATAACACTTTCACCATCACCACTACTGACTGTATAAAGGTTAAGGAGGAGGCGGTGATGATGGCTACGCGAGCGGAGTTGTGCAGCCCTTTCAAAGCGCGACACCCACACACGCACGCACAGAGGGCAAAGAACGAGGCAATTTAAGCCAGCGTTATAAAGGCGAAAATTTCACTGGTTTTTATAAAAGTGAAGACAAATAAAAATTTAATTAACAGGCTGAAGGACGTTGCAAAGTCGTAAGTTGAGACTGATTCTTTGGGGAGATAAAATTTCCCATCGATAGATGCATATGGATGAATTCAAAATAAACGAATAGATGAATAGATGGAGATTCCTCTATAATTGAATCTGGAATGAACGTATTCCTACCAGAACTCCTAGGAAGTCTTTTATTAGCCGAAGAAG